GTTTTGCCCCCCAGCAGCACAGGGCAAAAAGGAAGGCATGCTTGTCTTGCCTGCCAGAAGTGCTGGGGAAAGGGTACTCACCTGGTCCAGGGGTGGCCTCAGTCTTGGGAAGTCCTCAGATGCACTGTACTGGTGCCACGTACCTCCCGTTCCTGATGATGGAGGGCAGGACGTAGTACTGAGGACCTGGGGAGCAGTTGTCTGCCACGGGAGGTTTGGCCCCTTGAAATACTCACACAGGGGCTTTGGTTTTGGTAGGATTGTGAGCCAGGTAGCCTAGGAAGAAAAGCCTGTGAAAGGACACCTGCCTGCAAGTGCATATGGAAAGCCAGTTTCTAAGGGGAGTAGTTGGAGTTGCCAGCCTCAAGAAATTCCCTTCCCGTCTGACTTTCTCCTCCAAGGATGATACCAGTGGTCCAATACAAAAGTACAATGACTTCCAGCAACAACAGTGCAGGCACTGTGCCATTAATCACAAGATCACCACAATGCTATTGGGCTGGAGTACTAAACCCTGAAACAGTTACTAAGCTAACTGAATGCCAATGTGCTCGCCTCTGTGCTGTTTTTCTTTTGTGGAGTCCCGATAGGAAAGAAATCAAAACTCTACTGAGAAGAAGCTGAGAAGATGAAAAAGGTAGAGAAGAAGAATAGGAAGAGAAGAAGAAGCAGAAGAGGAGAAGACGAAGAAGGAAGAGAAGAGGAGGAGAAGGGAAGGAGAAGATAAAGAGGCGGAAGAGGAAGAAGAGGAGGAGGAGGAGAAGAGGGGAAGAAGTGTGGGGTGGGAGCAACAAGTTCGTAGCAAAGATACACAACAAGCTTCCTCCTGTGCAGTCAGGGGTTAGGATGCTGCTAAGGCCACCTCTGTGCCCAGCAGAGTCTGGCAGCTCTGTTCTGGGACTTTCCCACAAGCAGCCTGAGCCTTCTTCTGGCATGCCTGTGACCGTGGTGCAGCTGAGAGCATGAAGGCTTGGAGCAAAGGGGAAGGGAGCTGTGGCTGTTTGTCCCCTGGAGGCAGGGGATGTGGCACCCCCCTTGCGATGGTGATTTTACCTGTTGTCCCGGGGATGGAGTACTTGGGTCCCGGGCTGGTGAACTGGGCTGAGATGAGGCCGCGTGGGCGATGAGGTCTCCAGGTGCCCACC